GTTTTCACGGCGGTGACTATGAAGAATGTCGTCTTCTGGGATGTGGCTCAATGTAGATATTGTGTGAACCGACGTTTCGGACGAACGTATCGCCTCCATCTTCAGGGTAGAAAAATCCGCGAGGGAAACCAGCGTGAGCAGGTGTTATCTGGCCGACTGACCGTTAGATCAGTTTTTGGATATGTGCCAGACGGTAAGAATGTAAGCGACAAGTGTTAAAATCCGTTACCAGGAAACGACTATTGAAGACAGCGAAGGCTTTACGTATGCTGTAGTTACAGCGATGTTTAGAGTGTGTAATTCAGTGAGACAGTTACAGCTACTTGTAGTTACTGTCCATAAGTTGTCAGTAAATCCAGTTACCAATCTAAACCCCTTCTATAGTCGCTAAAAAATCGTGACAATATTTAGCTATTTTGCAATTTTATTTTGTTTCCGTACCATATTTTGCAGTCCTTCCTTTGTTTTATCATCCGCATACCGGATCGTATTAACTTATTAGCCGGATTAATTCATGAAGGAAATTCCAGTCTCTGATCAAATCCAGTTCAGACACGACTGGCCATGGCTAATTGAATGTTGTTGACTTGTGTTTCCCTCTTGAAGACGTCGGTTTTTCTCGACAGTTTCAATGTCATTCTTTTTCGTTTTTCGTTTTTTTTTCCAGATTTATTGCAGTATTATGTGAACATGTCTCATTATTTCCCTGTATTTTAATAATGTGAATATTTTCCCATCAAAAACCTTGCAATTCATAAGTTATAATATAATGCCTGACTCATACTTGGAGTTCAGAGGCAGACAGACATATGTGCGATTTCCTTTCCAGCAGAACCGGCAAGTGCTTGGATTTCAGACCGCTGTAACCATGGCATTCATAACGTACCACTGGTAAAATGAAGCTGGATTAGTCAGAACCCAGTTCGCGGCTACTCCACGGTCCCTGGCCAATTAATAATTCAGTATATATAGTATAGATTGCCGAAATGAATCCTGGACTATAAAGCAATACGGACAAGGGACGCAGGAAAATATAGGATCCTAGAAGAGACTGAAAGTTAGTTGAGCCTGAAGGTGTATGCCCTGAATTTGATGATGATGATGATGATGATCCAGCACTTTTTTCAGTCGATATGGATACCGGCAGATAATTAGCGTGTACCGGTAAACAATTAATGCCTACCACCGGATATACCGAAAGTGAAAAATTGCCAATTTGCCGGTGCATTGAATTGTTCGATGCTGAGGCAAAATTCAAGCATGAGAGTACCGGAAAACTTAATTTTAGGAAAAGGAAAGCGTTGGACATATCTTTCATCTTTTGTCTCAGTTCCCAATCCTTTAGCCTTACGTTAGTTTGAGAATATCCAGGGATTGTACGTGTATCCATGTTAGAGCAGTCCGAAGCAATGTGACAGCGCTAGACTGCACGAAACTGCCTGTTGAATCACTGCGTACGGGGGGAGCTATCGTACAGATTACAGGTATTTCCCAGTCCCGTCGCTAGATGGTGGGAGTAGCCAGTTTCGTGTCCTAAATGCTATACCCTCTCTTAGTATCTACTGGACAGAGGACACGGTGGCGAGGAGAGAAATCTGGGATTCGAACCCCGATATCCCGGCTATTGTCTAAACAGTTTGTGTTAAACATTGGATTATCCTCTCTCTTCCTTGGCGGTGCTCATTGGCGTGGCTGAGCGCCCGGCGGGCAAGACGAATTAACCAACGAACTCCTTGCACCTGAATGCTTAATAGATGCTCAATACTCAAGAAATTCCCAGAATTTTATAAAACCCAGTGGCTCATAACCGTGTCCCTGTCCTGCCCTAGACGAATCCAGTCCACAACCTCCCATCCTAAATTTTAACATCAATTTTAATATTATCCTTGCATCCAAGCCTAGGTTTTCCTTATGGTCTCTTCTCTTCGGGTTTTCCTACCATACATTTGCATGCACTTCTGCTCTATCACATATATGCTACATGACCAGTCCATTTCATCCTTCCTGATTTCCTCTTTTTACACGTATATGATATTCATGTCCGATAAATTTCTCCATAAGCGGAACGCATAATATTCAATATGGGTGATCATGACGCCTACTCGATTTTAATACCACATATAAGTCATAATAACTAACTCCTTTGATCTGAGTCCTCGAGAAGCCGTAATTCGTTCAGCCACTCACGAATTTCCCAGCAATTCATGGGGCTCGAAGGTTAGTTACGTGTTCACAAGAGCCCTCCACTGCTCCTTATCCTGAGAGAGATCACTCGAGTCCATACCATCCTATTCTATCTCTTTGAGATCCATTTTAATATTATCCACTACAATCCTGTATTTATTCCTCTTCTCCGCACACGTTCTACGTGCCCTGCCTATCTCATTCTCCATGACTTGATATTCCAGTTATGCTTGGAGAAGAGTACAAGTTACGAAGCTCCTCATTATGCAGTTTTCTCCACCCTCTCGTCACTTCATCTCTCTTCGGTCCAAATATTCTCTTCAACACCTTGTTCTCAAAAACCTACAGTCTATGTTCCTCCCTTAATGTCAGAGACCAAGTTTCGCACCCGTACAGAACGATAGGCAAAATTGCAGTTTTGTAAAAGCAGGTAATATAATAATTTTTTCCTTCGGACCGAAACATCCATCTTCCGGAAAATTCGTCTAGCCACAGTAAGAAGTCTGGAAAGGACCTCACAGTTTCACCAAAGCCTGACGCAGAATTCTTCTAATTCATATAGGAACCTCAAATCAATTTAAATAAAGCTTACTACGATTACGCAGGTCAGAATGTCATTAATTCACTTCGGAACCCAAAATAAGGTCAAGTTGTCTCATAGATAGCCATAGCTCACTTTTCAGTTTTGGGCCGTACTTGTTCCCGGGTCATTATCACTCGCGTTCCTCATTTCCAGTGCTTGTCCTTGGAGCAGCAGTTAGTAGCAGAGTATGACAAAAGACTCTTTAAACAAACTAGCGACTTGTTCAGTAATTTAACATCATAAAGAATGGGAACAGCAGACTCAATACATGTTCTTTCAGTTTCTTAAAGAAAGTTAAGGACGTAGCCAAACTAAGTGACAAACTGAACTACAAGGCAAGAAATTGACATGCTCTTTAGAATATGTGAGGGCAGATTTCTTAACACTTATTGACACATTATATCCTTTCTGTTTTCGTTTAATTAAATCTCGTTTGTTGTCACAACATTACGTCGGTCGTTGTTCATTTTATGATGCTATACCAAGTGCATAACAAGGAAGCTTATAGTTTATAACCCTCGCAGAATATTATTTTGGATGAAGAAATCAAGGAGAAGGAAATTGGCGCTGCTTGTAGAACGCGTGAGAGAAGAAAAGTGTGTGCAAAATTTTGTGTACAAGACCTGAAGGAAAAAGACCCTTTAGAAGACCTTTTCGGAGGTGGAACGATAACATTAAACTAATTTTAAAGAAATTGCGTGGGGTAGTGTAGACATTTCATTTGGTTCAGAAGCGCGACCGGTGGCAAAATAATGAACGGGATTCCGTAGAGGGCAAGAAATTGCTTGATTAGGCCAGCAACTGTTAGCTTCTTAAATTGACTAGTTAATTAACTAGTTTCATAGTTGGTTGGTTGTTGTGTCAAGGGTCATAATACGTAACTCCGAAGGGGGTAAAGTAACATACAGGACTGCCGGACGGTGACGGGAAATTCTGCCTCAAACTTCAGTTAAACACAGTTCCAGAACAAAAAACAAACACCGTGGCTTGTAGTCTATAAACGAACTATACCGACAGAGCGGCCGCCGCTTGTCCATGAAGTTAGTGCCAACTTTAGCGGATAGAAGGTGTCGCGTGGTCAGCGCAACATATCCCGACGGCCGTTGATTTCGGTTTTCTAGAGCTGAGCCTCTACTTCTCCATTCAAGTAGCTCTTCAATTATCCTCACAAGACTGAGTGGATCCCGTTCCTGACCCATTACTTCTCAGAAAATTTGGTAGCGCCGGGAATCGAACCGAGGACCTCTGGATCTGTAGCCAGGAATTATAACCATTAGACCACAGAGGCGGTCAAGTGGCACGCGTTAGCGTAGTTGGTTGAGGCACTATGCTACAAGCCGGAAGGTTGCGGGTTCAAGTCCCGATGAGATCACTGGATTTTTTCCAGTTCACCTATTCCTTCCAGCCGCACTATGGCGGAAGTGATAGGAGGTTGGAGAAAACTGCATAATGAGGAGCTTCATAACTTGTACTTTTCTCCAAGTACAATTAGATTGATCAAGTCAAGGAAGATGAGGTGGGCAGGTCATGTAGCACGAATGGGGGGGGACGAGGAATGCGTATAGGATATTGGTGGAAAGCCAGAAGGAAAGAGACCACGGGGAAGACTAAGGCGTAGGCGGGTGGACAATATTAGAATGGATCTTAGAGAGACAGGATGGGATGGTATGGATTGGATAGATCTGGCTCAGGATAGGGAGCAGTGGAGGGTTCTTGTGAACACGGTAATGAACCTTCGGGTTCCATAAAATGCTGGGAAATTCTTGAGTAGCTGCAGAATTGGCGGCTTCTCGAGAAGGGCTCAGCTCCATGAGTAAGTAAGTAAGTAAGTAAGTAAGTAATACTTAAAACTTTAGCACTCTTGCCATACCTGTAACCGTTAACTTACTTATAAACAATGTTAACGTGTAGCAATTTCCCCCCGCTCCAGATACGGTGTACCTATTTCCGGTGGTTCGTTACTTATTGCTCCGAAACCGACAGCTGAAGAATATTTCATTTTACGTTCTATAAAGAAATGCCACTACCAACTCCACACATTTCTTGAATATCTGTTACCATTCATCACAACAGAACCCTACATTAAGTGACGCTCCTGCCTCGAAAGTTCTCGCATGCACGCAACGTTATTATGGATTGTAAAAAATATTAAACCGATCACGGTGACCGCGCGGTCTGAGGCATGAACCGTCTTTCCTCTTTCAAACACTGGGAGCGTGAGTTCGAATCCCGCTCGAGGCATGTATATCTATGTGAGTTTATTCTGAGTTTGTGTTGTTCTATGTGTAGGTAGCAGCATTGCGAAGGCTGATCCCCTGTCCAAGGAGTCCTACTGACTGTGTATAAGTTTAAAAAATTGTAAATGCCGTCAAAGTCCACAAAGGCTGTAGAGACATAAATAAAAAATTATAAATTACGAACTTAGGATGATATAATTTATTGTCACGTCTTAGGGAGTGTCTATAGAAGAGATTTTTAATTGGATATTGTAATTACTGACCACTTACACACTCACGACTCGTAAGTAGAAGTAATTACAGCGTCACTTCTTGCCTCTGCAACTCACAAATCACCACAGCACAAGAAACGGTTGTTGTCTAGAGTCACCGCTTAACAACAATATCATGTTTAATAAAGAAAAAGTGTGAAGTCCTTCAAAGGGAGGAAAGTGCACAAGGAACACAGTGATCTCATAAGCCTACAGGAAGTTTGCCTAAGTTAAATATTGATATTAAATCCAAATATTTATGTGTTTGTCGACTGAAAACGAAAGTATTAAACCTTCAATTTTCTTCTTGCGCCCACAAGCACCTGTGCCTGGCCTTGACTTCTTTTCTCATTATTGTTTATCACTGTTTTGTAAGTAAGATTTAAAGTTTCAGCAGCAGTGACTATGAGGAATGTCGTCTTCTGAGATGTGACGCCGTGTAGAGCTTATGTAAACCGATGTTTCGGAGGAATATATCGCCTTCATCTTCAGGTTATAAGTAATCTGCGAGCAATGAACCAGCGTGAGCAGGTGACCGCACACTCAGTCTGCAACCATTTGTTCACGCTGGTTCCTCGCTCACTGATTTTTCTACCCTGAAGATGGAGGCGATACATTTCTCCGAAATGTCTATTTACACAAGCTCTACACGGCGTCACATCCCAGAAGATGGCATTCTTCACTGTTTTGTAATTTTACTACGTGGCTCTGCTAAAGTAATGGACGTTGTTTTCGTTACCCTGACAGTCCTCATATTTCTTTCAACATACCCTCAGCTGTTGCAGGCGAAGTCTGCGCTGTACTGTTGCGCTGGACGTGTTTGAATTCGCTGGTTTTAACTTGCAAGGAACAATTGTCTATACGTTCAAAGGCCGCACAGTAAGACGCACCTTTTTCTTTCCCTTGTAAAAGAGAAGATTTTAAAGACGTTAATGATAAAACTTACCTGCCGTATACTAATTGATTCGGGATAGCTCAGTCGATATGGCGACGAGCTGGATTTCTTGAGTTCGATTCTCTGCAGTGTAAGATTTTTCTCTTCTCCACAGCTTCCAGGCCGACTCTGGTGCCTAGCCAGCCTCTTACCCAATAGATACGGGGGTTTATTACCCGGTAGTAAAGCTGCCGGTGCGTGAAGCTGACCACTCACCTCCATCTAGTGTCGAGGTCAAGAAGAGTGGAGTTATACCTCCACTCCTCCATATGTCTTAATGGCATTGTGAGGTAAATTTCTTTCCCGTGCTTAACTAATTAAGTTCTATGGCATGAAGACGTATGGGAGAATGAAAGTATAAATCCATGTATTCTTGACCTCGACACTAGCTGGAGGTGAGTTATAAGCTTCACGTCCTGGCCGCTTTACCCCCGGAGAAAGGGCTCTGGTTGGTGCCCAGAACCTGTCTGAATGACATGGAGAAGAGCAAGATCTTGACTCTACCGGCACTAAAATTCCTACCCCTCAGCCGTTTAGCTTGTAGCTAGTTCTTATAACATCTGTGCCATCCCTACACTCTTCATGGTATAGTGAGTAAGTAATTAAGCATAGGGACAACAGAAACTGCAGCTCACGTGAATTGAGAACAATGCGGTTTCTCCATTTCAACAGAGGTTCTATCAGAATGTATGTTATTTAACCTCGTAACATTAATCTTCTATCTATTAAACAGTTTCAACAGAGGAACGCATAGTAAGGTAATCGGGTTGTAAGTTTCTGTACCGCGGACAAACAGCGACAAACATTGACCAATGAGATTTAAATAGCATCTCTATTCAACAGTCGATAACAGTTAACCCAAGTGAATATTATGCCACAGAACGCCAGTAATTCTTTGACAGTCGTGGAGTGTGGTCTGAATTGAAAGTGAACTAATGCTAATTGCTCTCTCAAGAAAACGGAGTTTATAGTATTTTAAGCACTGAAGATTGTAAGTGGTGTGATTATCGCAATATAAATCAATAGTTGCAAATAATTATATGGTAAATGGAGTCTTCAATAGAAAATGTGAACGAAGAAAACCGTCCCGCATTGATAACGACACCAGACACACGCACCATTGATAATAATGTTTTTACAAAAATGTCAGCAAATATACTTGAATTTTTGCGGAAAACAGGTTATACACTGGTGCAAAAGAATGGTCAACGTCGGTTAGGTGGGCCTCCACCTAAGTGGGAAGGACCACCACCACCTAAAGGAAGTGAAGTATTTGTCGGGAAAATTCCACGCAACTGTTTTGAAGACGAACTTGTTCCTGTGTTTGAAGAAGTTGGTAAGATCTATGAATTACGTCTAATGATGGATTTTAGTGGTTCTAACCGTGGATTCGGCTTTGTGACGTATTCGTCACCTGAGGTTGCCACTCGCGCTGTTGAGAAACTGAATAACCGTGAGATAAGACTAGGTATGAGAATTGGTGTCGTCAAATCCGTGAATAACTGCAAACTTTTCATCAGTGGGATTCCTTCTGGCGAAAGTGAGAGTGACATCAGACGTGTAAGTATCGTAGCCATTATTAAAAATCGCATTTGAGTAAAGTGATCGATAGTTAATATTACGCTATTGTTGCTAGTCTCTGAACAAAAGACATAGCTGAAGAGCTCTATCTTCTGGAATACAGCGCCGTGTAGTCCGATGAAAGTTAACTGTCGTTTCGGTGGAATATAAAGTCTCCATCGTCAGGGTTGAAGAAAAAGCTTAGTAAGATATCAGCGGAAAGCAGGTGGTAAGCAGAGATCTGTTTGATGGAAGCGATATATATTCTTCCGGACCGCCTCTATAGTCTACTGGTCAGAGTTCTGGGCTACAGATCCAGAGGTCTCGGCGCTATAAGATTTTCTGAAAAATAGTGGGTCTGGTACTGGGTTCACTTAGCCTCGTGAAGACAATTGAGGAGTTATTTGAAGGAAATAGCGGCTCCGGTCTATAAAACCGAAATTAAGGGCCGTGGGGATCCGTTGCGCTGACCAAGCGACACCCTCTATCCACAAAAGTTGACACTAACTTCTCCAACAATCGGCCGTCGTTCGGTTGGTATAGTTCGCTTGCGGACTAGAACCAAGTAGGTTAATTTATTTCTTTGACATGTTCCTCCGAAACGTCGGTTGACTTACATCGGACTACATAGTGTTGTATCCCAGAAGATAGTACTTACAAAATGTAATTTTTGTTTCTTATTAAGGATTTTATTTCTGTTGTTTTGTGCGGTAGCGTCTTTGGTTCAGGCACTATGCTATACGCCTAAAGGTCGCGGGTTCGAGTCCCGATGAGGTGGATTTTTTCAAATAACCCAATCCTTCCAGCCGTACTGTGACCCTGGGGTCGACACAGCCTCTAACAGAAATGAGTAGCATGAATCTTCCTGGGGAGTAAAGGGCGGCCGGCGCGTAATGCTGACAACCTTATCGCTATCTGCTGAGCCGATTGTCCACAGAAAATGTGGGAACCTCGACGTCTCACAACCCTATGGGCCTTCATGGCCGGTTACAGGGATAGCTTTACCCTTTTTTAGCTTTTATGTATTGTCTCACAGATATTAAATTTCCTAATTTTGTTTTCATCATTATAGTATGACAGTCAAAATTGAAATCCCTCGCTTCTGTTACTTTGTCCTTAGCTATGTATTTACATCACACCATATATATATATATATATATATATATATATATATATATATATATATAC